TTCCAACCCAACCATCCCATGGTTCCATGATCTTTAAGGACCCTTCCAACCCAACCATCCCATGGTTCCATGATCTTTAAGATCCCTTCCAACAGTTGCATCCTGATCTTCATGGCCTCCCCAGGCCTTGGGTTGCAGCTCATGTGGGAACCCAGGAGCTTGGCCACCCCTGATCTTTGTCATGGAGACTTGGATCTGTCACTGCAGAGCCCAGGGGAGGTGGCAGGAGCCCATGGGCTGTTACCTCCCAGGTCTTGGCAAGGCGGCTCACGGCTGTGTTGCTCACACCAAACATCACCGCGAAGAAGGAATTCAGATTCTTCTGCTCCTTGAGGCTGCGGCCATGGGATGAGGTGAGCGGGGAAGACACCAACCTGTCCCAGTTGGTGGAGGGGACATTGGGGACACTCACTGTGCAGCCAGCTTGATGAACTTGCGCAGCAGTTGGGCTCTCCTGCCCAGCTCAGGGCAGAGGCACAGCTCGGTGGCCACCCAGTACTGCAGCTCGTTGAAACGCCGCATCATTCGCTCCAGGTTGGCTGTCGTCACCTCGTGGAACTTCTGTGGCCCCACGATGTAGTGGATCATCTCCACCTGGCGTGGCAGAGGATGGGCGGAGATGTGACAGGGGGACCCCCAGAATCACCCTGGAGGATTGAATCCCCCTGCCCCGGCATCCAGGTGCTGCCATTACCTGGTGGATGCTCTTGAAGAGGTTCCAGTCATGGTCTGTGAGGTGGCTGGCCAGGTCTTTGGAGCTGATGAGATCCAACGTGTCCGAGGAGCCAACGTGGGGGCCCAACTGCTCAGGGTGGGGGGTCTGTACACAGAATGGGGGTGAGGGACACCCCAGTCCAGAGCCAGGATCAGAGCTGGGCTCACCAAGGCCCTCCATCACCTCCACTTGGTTCATGGGTCCCCCCTACCGCCCAGTACTGAAATCCCCTCCATCCTCTCCCTTGTGTTTCATGGCTCCCCCTATTGCTCAGCTCACTGAAATCACCTCCTCCAACGGGATTCATGCCCCCCCTACTGCCCAGCTCACTGAAATCCCCTTCATCCTCTCCATTGCGGCTCCCTGATTCCCTTCTCTCACTCATCAAACCCTCTCCATTCTGGTTCACGGGTCTCCCTCTATTCCCTCCTGCTCAGCTCATTGAACTCCCACCCATCGCCTCTATCTCAGCTCACAGATGCCCCCCCAAATCTCCTCATAGACCACCCTGGAGCTGAAGGACCAGAAGCAATGCCAGCAGCTGTGCTCCACGGAGCAAAGCGACACCCAACCCAGCTCCAGAACCACAACACGAGGATTTCCCCCCCAGCACCTCCCATCCCATGCCGACCTCCCCCCCCAGCTCACCAAACTGCTCAGCTCCTCCACGCTGACAGCAAAAAGCCTCTCGTTGAGCCCCAGCGAGGTGAACACCCCCACGGCGTCCAGCTGCAGCCCCACTTTCTCTGCAGGAGACGGGAGGATGGTGATGGGTGCTGAGCTGCTGCAGAGCTCAGGGACCCTGGAGTGACCTGGGACCACCACTCACCTCCGGATGAATTCACCTTCACCAGGAGGTGCTCTTCATCCCAGCCGAGCTGTGGAGCGAGGGACTGCAGCACATCCTGCACCGATGCGTTGACGGGCAGCACCGTCACCAGGCACGAATGGTCAGCTCTGTAGATCTCGTAGGGCACTGTCAGGGTGGAGGCATCAGCACTGCGACCACATCCGGAGGGATCAGGCGCCACGGCTGTGCCCGCAGTCCCTGTACCTTTATCCTGGGCTCTTAAGGCACAGCTGCTGCTCAAAGCCGCCTCGTCTTGGCTGGAGAGCCAGCTCATGGAGCTCCGAGACTGCAGCGAGAGGGGGGAGAGTGGGAAGCATGGCACCCCCCTGATACCCCGCTTCTGGGGATCCCATCTCCCTGTTCCTGACACCCCCAGGGCTGCCCTTACCTTGGGCTGGGGAGAAATGCTGCTGTCCCCATTCTCCATCCTGCACCAAGAGGAGGAAAGGAGTTGTTAAGAGGGCAGCAGCGCTTAGGATGCCGCCCTCAGGGCCACAAGGGTGGAGGTGGCACCGGGTCATTATGGGATGGAGATGTCTGAAGTCACCCCGAGGGCACAAGGACGCAACGGACGGAGGTGGCACCGGGTCATTATGGGATGGAGACACCCGTGGCACTCACGCTCGGGGCCGCCGCCGCTCCTGCTCCTGCACCATGGCCCCCAGCCGAGGGTCCTGGCTCACCAGGTCAGCGAGGTTCTATGGGAGGACAGGGGGGGCACTCAGTGTGACCCAGCGGTGACGTGGGGACCCCAAGGGGCTGCCCTGTGCTCCCAGTACCTGCAGCAGAGCCGTGGTGCTGCGGTCTCCCTGCAGCAGCCGCCCGTAGAGCAGCACCCACTGGCTCACCAGGCGCAGGATCTTGCGGCGCTTGTGCAGGCAGTAGGTGGCTTTCTCCTGCTCTGAGCCATCCAGCGGCTCTGCGCGGAAACTGGGACCAGTTAAGGGCACCAGTATGGAGGATGTGGGCAAAGGCAGCGAGAGGACCCCTCGCCCCACGAGCACAGGGAATGGGGACGTGCCCTTCGCTTGGAGATTTGGGGTCCCCACCGCCATCCCAATGTGCCATTAAGGGGACGGGGACCAAGGTGGTCCCTGCAGGAGGGGCTGCATGCCACGGGCCCCCCATCAGCAGCAGAAGGATATTGATGCAGCAGAGCCCTGCAGAGCTGTGAGGTTGGCATGAACACAGTGTAGGTCAGCAGGAAATCCCCCAGGAGTGTGTCTGGAAGAGAGCAGACAGCCCTACTGTGCTGCGCCCGCACCGGGCTGGGGACAACCCTGTGGGGTTGCCATGGGCTCTTCCACCTCACAGCTCCCACTGGGTCACGTTTAGCTTCTAAAGGCCGAGGAAAGGGCTGAGAAGAATGCGGCTGTATTATTTTTTGGAATGAAGGGAAAGGCTTTTTGGAATGGAAATCATAACAAGTTGGGCATGGGGAGGAGGTTGGATGCCGGTTCTGCAGTTGGGATTTTTTACCCGCTGGGGACACCTCCTGGCTCCCGGCTCTCCCTGTTCTACAGCTCTGCATGGGGGGTGTGGGGACGTGGGAGAGGAGGGAGGAGACGCTCTGCAGTTCTCCCAGCCCAAAGGAGGGATTTGATGGAGAGAAAAGGGCAGCCCCCACCTACCCACGGGGTCGTAAAGCGTGGCGTCGAGCCTCATGAACTCCAGCAGGTGCTCCAGGATCTTCTCTGGTGTCCCAGCCATCACCAGGTACCTGAAGCGCATCAAGGACCCGGCGCTCAGAAAGGCTTTGGCATCCCCATTGCCACGATTCTCCCCAAATTCCCCCAAGAGAAGGCTCAGGGAAAGGCCAGCAGTGTGCCTGCAGCAGGAGGGATGGGGACGGGCAGCTGTTGCTGTCACCTGCTGCTCCGCGTCGTGGCCGGCTGGCTGCTGCCTCCCTGCAGGTTCTTTTGCAGCACCAGCACCACCTTCCCGTGCTCCTTCAGGCGCATGGTGTTGGCTTCCACGTCCTAAATGGGGAAAGCAGCCTTCAGCCTGGCTTGGTGACCACAGCCTGTCCTCCCCAGGCTGATCCCTGGGCAAAGCCAGCTGCCAGCAAGCAGCACGGGCTGCAGAGCGCATTGCTCACACAGCTTCTTCCACCCCAGCACTCCTTTGGCACTGCACGGTGGTTCACTGCACCCCATCCCCCTGCAACCAGCACACTTTGCACATCCCAGAGCAAACCCCACATCCCACAGCCACAGGAAGGTCCTGGGATGGTGCCCAGCACAGGAGATCCCAGCTGCCCACCTTGAGGATGCGGTTGAAATCCTGTTTGTCCACCCTCAGGAAGTGGCAGTTGTCCTCCCTCAGGATGATGCTGGCCGCTCGGGGAGCGTCGTTCACAAGTGCCAGCTGCCCAAAATCGTCCCCTTCATGCAATGTGGCCACCAAACCCTGCAAAGGGACAGGGCTAACCCAAACCCGAACCTGACCCAGGCCAGGTTGGAGAAACGGTGCACCTTGGCACCAAGGTGACAGCAGGGATGGGGTGGAGGCGTGGGGACGCACCTACCTTGCCATGGGTGACCACGTTCACCGAACCCTTCCAGACGATGTACCACGAGGTGCCTTTATCCCCTTGGCTGAACACTGCGGGGGAAATGGTGGCGTGAGTGAGAGCCAGAGCATCCCTCGTCAGCCCCCATCCCAACAACAACCCCTCAGCCAGATGGGTGAGACCCCAAAGTGCCTTCATCCGCCCCATCCCACCCATCCACCCCTGCTCCACAGAGCCAGCAGGAGCATCCACACGGACAGCAATGCCCACCCAACCTGGGGATGCTGTCCTAGGGGCCATCCCATCCCCCAGCACACGGAATTCAGTGGGGACACTCACACACGGTGCCGGCTCGCTGGTGTGATTCAAACATCAGCACAGACGCCAGCTCTCGCTTCACCTGCAGCAAGGAGCAGCCACCCTCAGCATGGAGGGGACACGCAGGGTGACAACCCAGGGGTGGCTGCGAAGGGCCAGGAGAGGAGGAGGATGCGTGGAGGGGAGGCAGTGGGATGTAGGAGGGTTTGGAGGGGATGGATGCAGGCATGAAGGCAGCAGGGTGCAGCCCGCACTCACCGAGTTGGAGAGGTGAGCCACGGCTTTAATGTGGAGCAGCTCCTCAAAAATGAGTTCCAGCTCATCCTCTGTGCGCTGGGCAGGCCTGGGAGGGAGACAGGGGTGGTAAGTGGCCACTGAGAGCATCTCAAAGTCCTGGATTCCCTCCTGCATCCTCTCCAGTTCCAGAGGGGGAAAGGATGCTCGGGATTCCCTATCTGCAGCATCTCCAGCTGTGATTGGAGCAGGACGGAATCGAGCCACCAGGACCCCCGGGAGTAACCAGGAGCCCCCAGGAGCACCTAGAAGCCCCCCAAGAGCCCCCCAGCACTCACGGTTTGCGCAGGGCCATGGTGAGCAGTGCATCAGGCCCCAGCTGTGCCAGGAAGGTCACCGCCTCCAGCAGCTCCTCCGCATCCCGCAGCCCCATGCGGGGTTCGGGGCTCAGCTCCAACTCAGCAAAGCGATAGAATTGGGTGTCCTTGTCCTGGAAATGCCACTCCTGTTTCACTGCGGGGAGGGAAGAGCACATGAGCTGGGGGTGTGGATCCATGGGTGACCCGGGATGCCCTCGGGGATCCCCTCACCGTGCGTCAGGACCCCGCCGTCCACCAGCACCTGCCCCACGCCGATGGCTTGGCTCCTTGTCTGGATGCCCAGCTCTGCATTCAGCATCCAGTCCACCAGCTCCTTTCCAGAGCAGCACCTCCTGGAAAGAGAGGAAAACACCCACAATGAGGCTGCAGCATCCGGGAGCCCTCCGAGGGTCTCCAAGGGGTGCTGGAGGTCCGACCTGTGGTGCCGGAGGTGATGCTTATGGTCCCGGATGAGGCTGGGGCTGGTGCTGGTGAGGTAGGTGAAGAGGAGCTTTCCAGCTCTCCAGATCTTCTCCGAGGATGCCTGGAAGGGAAATGAGGTTCTATGGTGCCTGGAGGGCGTTGGGCAGTGAGAGCTCCTTGTAATTCTTCGTGCTGAACCTGCTCAGTGCCCAGCTGTAGCCCATCCCAGCACCTCAGGATCTCCATCCCCAGCCCCAGGAATGGCTGATCCCAAAGGATCCACTGTGCCATCATGCCCTCCCACCCCTCCACTGCAGCCTTCCTTTTGTTTCTCCCCCCATCAGCCCTTCTCTGAATGCCACACTCGTGTCTCTGCAGCATCCTCACCTGGGTAAGGCTGTGTCCATAATCCAGGGAGGATTCAGCATCCAAAAGCGGGGTCTGGAAAAGCAAATAGAAAGTGTTGGTGGCCCCAAAAAGAAGGGCAAACGCAATGAAATGCAATGAAATCCACAATGCAAAGCAATGGAATGCAATGTAATCCTAACCCTGACCTTAGCCCTAACCCTAACTGCTAACCCTAACCACCAACCCTAACCCAATGCAGAGCAATGCAGTGCAACCCTAGTCCTAAATTTCACCCTAACCCAAATGCAATGCTGTGGCATGCAATGAAAGCAGTGCAGTGCAGTGGAACCCTAACCCTAACTCCCTTCCTGCACACACCATGCATTACTCAGCCCCATCTGCTCTGCACCAGGAGGGGATGCACACACATCCCTGAGCCCCCACCAGCACCGTCCTCCTGAACGGACCCCCCTGCAACACCTGCATCCACCAACCACCCACTTCCAGCTTTATTTTGGCCCATTTCAGCCACACCAACACAGGGAGAACAATTCAGGCACTGCTGGAAACCAGCAAGGAGGAGCTGGGATGCCTGAATGGGGCCACGAACGGACGTGGCTCAACGCACCCCACATCTCTGCGCTGCAGCAACCCCCCCACGTGCACAGCAAGGACCCAAACCCTGCAAGCTGCCCTGCAGTCATGTTTCACTCCGGGATGGGGAACGCACTGAAGGGAAAGAGCTGGGAGATGAAAGGATGAAAGGAGGAAGTTAAAAGCAAAGCCTTTGCGCGAAGGGATCAAAGGCACCGATGTGAGACACAGAGCGAGCGCTCGCTGCTGGAGGAGGACATCAGAGCGACCTGCAGGAAGGGAAGGGCGAGGGAAAGCCCCGAGCTTCTCCTCCAGCTTTGAAGCCTCATCCAGGAGAGGAGGATGGAAAAGACGTCGGATTCCAGCAGAAGGGCCCAGGGATGCAGCTCTGCACACTGCAAACTGGAGCAGCTCGCGTTCAACCACAAGGGATATTCCACCCAAATGGCAATGGTTGTGATGCTCAGCCCTCTCCATCTGCATCCTCCACCACTGCCCTTCCTTTTGGCCACTGCCATAAGCAATGCTTTTTTTTTCCTCCTAATTCTGCTTTTTTTCTGCTGTTTTCCCCCCTTTTTGGCTGTGCCACCAGCTCCCAACAGCCTTTCATCGTGCACTGAAGGCAGCTGGAGCTTGAGCCCTATGGCACGGCATGGAGCATCCTTCTGGGAGCATCTCCAGAGCAAGGCTTTGTGCCCTCAGGCTGTTTGTGGAGGATTTGAAAACCTCCCTGGGAAGATCCTGCAGCACTCAGGGCTGGTGGAGGTGCTCAAAAGGCCATTTTGGGCAGCGCTCATAATGCGATTTTGGGAATTCAGAGTCTTCAGGGTCAGATCTTCTGTGTAATTGAACGGGTAAGGAAGCTTTGAGCAACTCCATTGAGAGGCACAGAGCAGCTGAAAGCCTCAATGCAGGAATCCAAGGCGGAGGAGCTGCAGAATCCTCCTCTACAAATGAATTGAATGCAAAATAAAACTGCTTTGCAGGGAGCTGAAGGGATCCCGAACCGCCCAGCACCGCCGGGTGCAGGCAGGTGCTGGAGGTGGGCACCCACCTCCGGCTGCTCTGCATGGCTCAGGCTGCTCCATCGCCTCCAGCCCTTTCCTCACTCCACAGCCTTCCTCTTTCTCCTCCTCCTCCTCCTCTTCCTCCTCCCCGGGCTCACGGCAGCCCTTTGCAAGAGGCTCAGGAAGAGGCAGAAGCAAAGGAGCTCAGGAGCGCAGCGCTCTCCAGCCACATCCGCAGCCTCCCGCTGTCACCAATGCGGGGACGCCTCCTCTTACTCACTCAGCAAACTTTCCCCGTGCCTCGTGACGCCCCGCCGAGCAGGAAACGCACCGACGGTTGTCGAGCAAATGTTTGCAAACCCGGAGCCGGGCTGCAGCCGGAGCTGCGGGACCCGCAGGGCGATGCCACCCACTGCGCCCGTCCCCAAGCAGAGCCGCCTCCGCCGTCACCCCTGTAACCCCGCTCCGTCCTTGGGGCAGAGAGCCAAGACGTGCCACGGTGCTGCTCCAAGCAAGGACGGCCAAGGAGACTGAGAAACTCTTCCCTGCCCAAGGACAGCTGCTCACTGAGGTTTCTCCCCACCAGCTCCCCTTCCTGCGCCATGGCACCCCATGGTTCCCAGGTCCGGCCCTTCAGGATGTCCCCCCCCCCCCCTCCCTCCTTCCCAGCCCCCCGATGGCTGCAGCCCCGCAGCCGCCGTCTCCAAAGAGCTTCCGAAGGAGTTGCCTGTTTCCATCTTCCTGCTTACGGGACAGGAGGGATCCTGGTGGGCTCCAGAAATCCGGCAGCCATGGGCGAGCGGCCAAGGCCGGCAGTGAGCGTTCTGCTTTGTTTGGGATGCCGGGGAAAAACAACAAGGAGCTATTTTGGGTTTTACGGCTCCAGAGAAAGTCCTCGCCCATCCGCAGGCTCTGAAGGAGAGGCGCCACGCCAGGGGCTCAGTTATCCCCACGACCCCCGCTGGGAGGGGTCCATCCCCTCAATGCAATGATGGCACACATGGGGTGACCATGGCGCACATGTGGTGGCAATAAGCATGGCACTTATGGGGTGACAGTGGCAAACGTGGGGTGACAATGACCGTGGCTCTCATGGGATGATGGTGGCACACCTGGGGTGACAATGACCATGGCACATATGGGGTGACCATGGCACATGTGGGGTGACAATGACCGTTGCACTTATGGGGTGACAGGGGCAAACATGGGGTGACAATGACCGTGGCACATGTGGGGTGACAATGACCACAGCAGTCATGGGATGATGATGGCACACATGGGGTGACAATGACCATGGCACATATGGGGTGATCGTGGCACACATGGGGTGATGATGACCATGGCACACATGGGGTGACAGTGGCACACATGGGGTGATAATGACCATGGCACATATGGAGTGACCGTGGCACACATGGGGTGACACTGACCGTGGCACTCATGGAATGATGGTGGCACACAGGGGGTGACACTGGCATACATGGGGTGACAATGACCGTGGCACACGTGGCATGACCATGGCACATATGGGGTGATAATGACTGTGGCACATGTGGGGTGACAATGACCATGGCACAAGTGGGATGATCATGGCACGCATGGGGTGACCGTGGCACACGTGGGGTGAGTGCAGCCACTGGGGACGGTGGTTGGTGTCACCCCACTGAGCTGGGAGACATTCGGTGCCAGGGAGACTCCTGGAGAGGTGGGGGGGAGTGACACAGAGCCAGGAGCTGCAGCAATGGAGAGGAGGGATGCGGCATCCCCAAGGCGCAGCCAACCCAGCCCTCATTCCTCCTCCCTGCCCCAGCACCCTCCTACCTGCAGGAGAAAACGTCCCTTCTGTCCCCTTCCCCACAAATGGCCAGGGGGTGTCCCCGAGCACAGGGAGGCCACACAGAGAGGGGGAGGGGGGGCACAATTCTGCCACGCTGTGCTTGCCACCACGCTTCACATTTTGCCCTATTTTGCCCAATTTCTGCCAGCCCAGCGCTTTAAAGCAGAAGTGCTGCAATGCGCTGCTGCCCCATGCTTCTCAGAGAGCAAACACCCAACATGGAGCCCCCAAACCCTTAAAGTTCTGGGGAGAAGAGCATCCAGAAGGATAGGGAAGAAAAGAAAAAGTGGGGGGGGGGGGGGGGGACACAGAAAGTTCCATTGCAGCATGGGGAGCTTTTTCCTTCGGGAAGGAGGTTGTACAGGAATGCAAACAGATGGAATAAAGCGATTTCCTTTTGTTCCCTAAGGTTTGTCCTCAGCCAGGCTGTGTGAAGGTGAATGGCTGCAGCCCCTCCACCCCTCCAGCACTGAGGGGGCCTGCAAAGGGACGTTTTGCCCCATAGGGAAACAGCAGAAGGTTGGGGTTGTGGCGGTGTGCACCGAACCGCTGCCAAGCGACCGGTTTCTCTTGTAAGCAACGGCCTGAGCTGCTGGGGAGAGAATGTATGGAAGCCAGGGTTGGGTGTGGGGAAGGTGTTTCCTGCTGGCAGTGGGTTGGGGTGCTCTGCCCGGGCGCTGCGCGTTGGAGCACGGTGGCACCTGGTTCGTTCTGTGCTTTGCTGCCAAATCTGCCCCTGGGTTGGGGCTGAAGGCTGCACAGCTGAGCTCACGGCCAAGGAATGGGAACAGGGAAGCACAGCACGGACCTCAGGGCACCTGGAAGGCAGGGAAGGGCGGAGGGTTGAGCTCAGCATGGGGGTCCCGCTCGGCTCCAACTCCCCCAGCCCCTGGGTGCGGGGTGGGATGCTCCTGTAAAGTGCTTTCCCTCTTTTTCCTTCAGGTTTGTCCCACTGTGGGAAAGGGGCCACCCCCAGCAAGAGGGGACAGTGTGGGGCTGGCACTGGGGACATTTGTCCAGCAGGTGCCAACAGCTCTTGGCAAAGGAATGGGACGGGGGCAGAGGGCTGGAGGGGGTTGGGGATGTTCGTTCTGGTGAAGGGCGCAGAGGTAGGGGCAAGAAGCATGCAAGATCCTGCATGTGGGGTCAGTACCCGCGGTCCCTGCTCTCCCCACGTCCCCATACCCACTGTCCCCACTGCCCCACATCCCCGTATCCCACCTCCCTCGTGTCCCCGTAACCCACAGCCCCCGCTGTCCCCGCACTCACCCATCGGATGCCTTGGATACGGGGCAGGCTCCCCCCCTCTCCCTCCAGCCTGATCTCGTAGCTGGAGCTCCGGAACAAGTGCATCTTCTTCAGCAGCACCGACAGCCGGTTATTGTCCCCTCCGGAACCACCGGGTGACACCGGCGGCGGAGTGGGGGGGGGGACAGCCCCGAGACAACGTTCCAGCCCGGTCCGTCGGCAACGGGTCCCCACCGGAGCCTCTCCCCGCCGCTCCGCCTCCCCCCCCGCTGCCGATCCCGGTCCCGGTTCCGGTGGCGATGGCGGTCCCGGCCCCGCGCACCTTCATGCGGCGGCTCCGCGGGGCCGGGCCGGGCCGGGCTCGGGGTCGGTGCCGGTACCACCGCCGCCACCGCCGCCGCGCTCCGCCCCGGAGAGAGAACGGATGGGAGGAGGGAACGGGGCCGTCCTCGCACCCCGCCCCGCCCCGAATGCCTCGATCCCCCGTTCCCAACCGGACCCCGAGCGCTGCGCACCCCGGGGACCTTTTTACGGACAGCCCGTCCCCAAAGCTCCCATCTCCGTGGGCCCCCCCGGCCCCGAGCTCAGCGCCATCCCTCAGCACCGCGGTGTCCCCACGGGTCCCCGTCCTTCCTGGGACGTTCTGTCCCTTTTCCCACTGTGACACACCCGAAGCCCCCCGGTATCCAAAGGTTTAGGGCAGAGGAGGGGACCTGGAACACGGCCCAGGGGTCCTGGGAGTGCAGACACTGGGGCTTTGGGCCAGAAAGCAAAGGTTTGCTGCCAAAGTGAGCTGTCACTTTTGAAATTAACCTTTTATTTTTCTCTATTAAAATCTATATTTAAACGGCCCCACAACCCAACCAGCAGGGAGGAACGTCAGCTAAAGGCGAGCAGTCTGCAGGCTGCAATATTGACTTTGGGGTCAATATTGGACTCCTCACCACTGTCACCACCCTGGAGCTGTCGTGTAGGATGGGGAACTGCAATCCTTCCTCCCACCATCCTCTTCATCCGAGTGCTGGATTGTCTGCAGCTCTGCCTTCATGCCCCACATGTCGGCCTGAACTCGGGCTGTGCCTGGAGGTGCAGCTCCTCCTGACCCCCAAAGAGGCCTCCCAACCCCGAGTGCTTCCTTCCTCTGCAGCAGGAACCATGCCTTTTCCTAAGCAAACACCAGTGCCACGTTTCCTGCCCCACACCGTGGGCACAGCCTGCAGCAGCCCTGGTGCTTTGTGGGCATCTCCTCATCCACATCTATGCATCTCCCCATCCATGTGGGCACCTCTGCCTCCAGGTGTGCATTTCCCCATCCGTGTGGGCACCTCCCCATCCATGCGTGCATCTCCTTGTGTGCATCTCTGCCTCCACGTATGCATCTCCCCATCCACGTGTGCATTTTCCCATCCCCCATCCACGTGTGCATCCCCCTGTCCGCACATTGCACTCTCTGGCCACAAACCTCCCTTTTTGCTCGGTTGCTTTTTGACCACTGGCAGCTGGGAGCAATTCGGAGCTGCTCCTGCTCTCAAGGAGCTGATGCTGGAGTGGAAATGCTGCTGCTCACAGCCAGGAATCGGCCCCAGTGCTGCATGCAGGGAGGATGCTGGCTCGGTTGTTGCAGGGAGGAACCTTTGGAAAGTTCCCCAGCCCGATGGAAGCCTCTGAACTGCTTTATGCTCTGCACAAGGAGGATCTGCTCACCTCTGACCGGCCCCTGGGTCCCTGCTGACGTGCACCAGAGGTCCCTGTGCCGTGCAGTCACGTCCCCGTGCAGATTAGAGAGAATTAAGTCTGGGTGGAGAAGGAGGAAGAGGTGTGAGGAAGGCCTGGAGCCTTTGGGAGAAGCCTCACCCCTCCAATAACCTCTCCCTCTTCCTGCAGTTCATCCCACCTCCCCACAGCCCCACCAGCAGCACCAAGGAGCATTCCCTGCTGCTCTCCTCCCTTCCTCCCATCCCTCCTTCCTGGGAACCTCTTGAAGGCTGTGGCTGTCCCAGCTGTGCTGGTTGGTGGCACTGTTTGCTCCCTTGCGGACGCAGCACCTGCAGGAATGAGGACAAACCGTGGGCAGGGTGGCTCCCAACACTCTGCACCCCGTTGTCCCACCATCGCTGGACCACTAAGAGATGCTCCAGGCTGGGGAATGAGAGCATCCTGCAGCAATGCTGCCCCTGCTGCATCCTTGCAGGACAAGATGACACGGAACCAGCAGGGCTCTGAGGGTGTCACCAATCTGATGGCCTCTACAGAGCAACGGTGACCAGCACTGCCCAAAGCACAGAACCCCAGCACTGTGCACCCAGCAGCCCTGCTTGCCTCCAGCATTTGCTTATCCAGCTGCAAACCAAGCACAGGAATGCCAGAACCTCACAACCCCGCTGCTGCCAGCATAGGGTCACACATCCCCAAAGGCTGCAGCAGCCACCAGAGCAGCTCCTGCCTGCCATAAAATGCAAACAGAGCAGCTCTGCTTTATCTGAGCCTTTATCACTGCGTTTTAACTTGCTCGCTTTATCAGCGCTTGAATAATAATTAATCTCCTGCAGCAGGCAGGCCTGGCCCCCTGGCAATGTGCCTTTCCTGGGAGCAGGGTGGTTTGCAGAGAGGTGCCCATGGGTTGGGTCCCACTTGGGTCTCAGCACAGCAGCGGCGTGGGATGGGGGCAACCAGACTCCCAAAGGGTTGTTGTGTTTTGGTTTTGTTTTGCTCTGTGTTTCATGGATGGTTTAGCGGCAAAAGAAAGCAAAGCACGCGTGCAACAAAACCAACGACAAAACCTGTTTCTATGGGCAGTTCAGGGCACAAACATCTCGCTCTTGCCATATAAACAAGGCCACCACTGAGCCCCTCCGTCCACAGGCTCTTTCATAAATCATGCTGGGGATAAAATAGCATTTGAGGAATGCAGTGAGCTGGACTTGGTGCTCTGTGGGAAAAGCAGTGCTGGTGGCACATCAGGCTGCTGCTCCTTATAGCTCCAGGGCTGCCCTTTCCCACAGAGCACCAGGCTGTGGGTCCCAGGGGTTGCATTCTGGCTGCAGCAAAGCTGGATCATTGGCTCAGGTGTCCCCTGAATGGAAAAAGAACCAACCCAAACAGATTTGGGTTTGATTTGCAAAGCCTGACCGCATTGCGTGCATCCTGCATCCCTCTGCATCCTGCATCCTTTGCACCACGTGCATCCTGCATCCCTTGGGTTCATTTGCAAAACCCAACTGCGCTGAATGCATCTTGCATCCCTTCATCTCTAGGTTTGACTTGCAGAGCCCAACTGCACCACATGCATCCTCCACACCTCTGCATCCTGCATCCTTCTGCCTCCTCCACACCTCTGCCTCCTCCCCTCCTCTGCATCCTGCATCCCTCTGCCTCCTCCACTCCTCTGCATCCTCCACTCCTCTGTATCCTGCATCCCTCTGCATCCTGCATCCTTCTGCATCCTCCACACCTCTGCATCCTCCACTCCTCTGCCTCCTCCACACCTCTGCATCCTCCATCCCTCTGCATCATCCTCCAGGCTGAGCACGCAGAGCAGGGACGTGGTGACGATCGTGTCCCAAAGGCTGTGCTTGGCAACTTTTATTTCCCTTGAATGAAAAACCGACTGCTGCTGCTTGCAGGGTGCAAACCTCTGCCCTGCTCCACTCACATGCATGCTCCAGATTCGTCCCAGCTCTTGCTCACCCTACAAGCATTGATTTCCAGAGATACCGTATCTCAGCCCCAGAGATGGCGCAGTGCTGAGGGTGACGCACAGGGCAGCAATTCCAGCTCTCTTACCCAAATCTACAACCATTCCTCACTGCCTCCTCCATTTAGGGATCGTTTCGGGGTCTTCTGGTGTGTTTGCATGGGAGATTCTGAACGAGAAGCAGCTCAGCTCTTTGTATCAGGGATGGGAATGCCTGCCGGCATGTGGCTGTCAAAGAGATTTTAGTATTTATCACCTCTTGGGCTTAACAGGATAATAAATCGGTGTTGAAAATATGATTGTGAGGAAAACGGCTGTAAATTACAGCTCTCTGAGCACGCTGCCTCATCCCCCAGCATTGGTGCTTTATGTATCTCTTGTCCTCAAACCATATTTTGCTCCTTTTTAACCAGCGCGGCCTTTCCTAATTTACACCATCGTTACTTTGAGGGATATCGCTCCCATTATGATTACCATTATTATCCCAGCGCAGTTTTTGTGAGTGCCTCACTGCGACACCCAGCATTAAAGAACCCTTCGGGTTTAGCCCGCATGATTTGTAATTTAATCAGCATTTTGCTTCCTAATTGGTGCAGAACGAAGCGCTCCCCATGAATTAACACGAGCTATGCCTTTTTGCTGGGAGGAAACCATCTCTTGGTATCCTTTCCTCACAGCCTCTGCTTGCGGTGATGGAGCCTTCCTGATGGTCGTTGGTGGTGGTGCAGAGTCCAGTTGGAGGCCTGTAAGCAGCTGTGTTCCTCAGGGGTCAGTGCTGGGTCCGGTCTTGTTCAACATCTTCATCAATGACCTCGATGAGGAGATAGTGGCCACCCTCAGCAAGTTTGCTGATGATACGAAGTTGGGAGGATTGGCTGACAGCCTGAAGGCTGTGTTACCATTCAGTGAGAGCTGGACAGGCTGAGAGCTGGGCAAAGAAAAACCGGATGAGGTTTAACAAAAGCAAGTGTAGAGTCTTGCATCTGGGGAGGAATAATTGCATGCAGCAGTACAGGTTGGGGATGAGCTGCTGGAGGGGAGCTCTGCACAGAGGGACCTGGGTGTCCTGGTGGACGACAGGTCGGCCATGAGCCAGCAGTGTGCCCTTGTGGCCAAAAGGCCAATGGCATCCTGGGCTGCATTGCACACAGCGTGGCCAGCAGGTCGAGGGAGGCGATCCTCCCCCTCTGCTCTGCCCTGCTGAGGCCTCATCTGCAGCACTGCGTCCAGTTCTGGGCTCCCCAGCACAAAACAGACAGGGAGCTCTTGGGAAGAGTCCAGCGGAGGGCCACCAAGATGGTGAGGGGCCTGGAGCATCTCTGCTATGGGGAAAGGCTGAGTGAACTGGGTCTGTTCAGCCTGGAGGAAAGAAGGCTGAGAGGGGACCTGATCCAGGTCTGTGAATATCTGAGGTGTTGGGGGCAGAATGGCGAGGCCGGACTGTTTTCAGTGGTGAGTGGAGACAGGACAAGGGGAAATGGCCGGAAACTGCAGCATAGGAAGTTGTGCAGCAATGTGCGAAGGAATGGCTGTGCAGTGAGGTGACGGAGCACTGGAACAGGCTGCCCAGGGAGGTGGTGGAGTCTCCTGCTCTGGAGATGTTCCAGACCTGCATGGATGCCGACCTGTGCGAC